GTGTAAAATACGGTGAAATATTTTTTGCGCATTTTGGGGAGAATTTCTCCACATTCCAGCATCGGTCAATTAACTACTTCTAGTTACACTCTCTAATTCTTAGCACATTATATTACTAATCTGTGTCTTTTATCCATCTCCCAACCATTTATAGTCCCCCAAATGAAAAAAAGGGGGAAACAAAATACTATAACAAAATACTTTCAAAACACGTTTTGACAGTATTCCGATAGTATAGCAAATCACATGCAAATGAGCTAACAAAACACTATAACAAACTACTAACAAAACACTTTCACAAACTACTAACGAAACATATTAACAAACTATACTTACAAAACACTCTAACAAACCACTAACAAAACACTTTAACAAAATACTTACGAAACACTTTAACAAGCTACTAACAAAACACTTTAACAAAATACTTACGAAACACTCTAACAAACTACTAACAAATCATAAGCAACAAATCATCAATAAACCACTAAATTTGAATTTTTAAAATTATAATTAGCAAATTCACAAGTCTTTGAAAACATATAAACACAATTCTCATATTGAAACATAAACACCTTGTTTCACAGTATTTTGAATTCCAGGATTGACATTATTCTCCAATAGACAAATTATAGCACACCATTCCAACATTTTAAACCTTTAGAGATATAATTCTCAAGCCATTGGCCACTTCTCCAATCACATACATATAATATTCACAGAATTTTCAAGTATAATTATAATTCATCATTTAATCCAGTGCTTAAAACTGATATAAGCTGGGTAGTATATGGATTAAAGGTCAATCTTAATTAACATGAACAAAACCCCAATAAAAACAGGCCATATTTAATGTACACATCCACATTCACAGATCGAAGGTTATTGTAATCCAGCATAAAAGAACTTTATGTCATGCAATGAATAAATACCTCTGTTATATCCAGATACATCCTGATTATGCTTTTTCCAATCAGGGATCAATTAATATTTACATGTATAAACTTTACATGTCCCTTCATCAATCTCTATGTTTCTCTCTGACCTAGTGCTGGTGGTTTGAAAATTGGCGCAAAACTAGTAACACAGGATGAAAATAGATAAGTTGTCCTTGGAAGATTTTACTGCACCTAGATAATTCAACCCTCAACATGTCTGTTAATCAAATGAAATGCTAACAAAATATTACATGTACTTAGATGCAGACAAGTATAATGAAACACTTTCAAAATGCAATTTCATTCTGCAGAGTGTAAAGAAACATTAATAAAACACCAACAATGTAATGAAACATTAACAAAATACCATGCCACTCCATCCTGTAAAGTCTTGGATTGATGTTTCATTAAATGCAACACTTTCAAAACATACTAAGAAAATATAAAAGTATGATTTGTTAGTGTTTTGAAGATCTTTTGCAAGTATTTTGTTAGATTTCTTTTTCATTTGGGGGCCTCTCTACAAATGATAAACTGGCTTGATTAAATTATTTGTTAGATTGCTGAAAATTAATTTCAAGCGAGTTTATTGCCTGTAGAGACAACTATAAATAGTTGGGAGGTGGATAAAATATAAATATTGGCTACAGAATGTGTCTAGAGTTAGGAAGTGATAGGTAGTTGATTGACCAATGCTAGAGAGTGGAGAAAACTCTTCCCATAAGTGCGCAAGAAATATTGCACCATTTTTGCATTGCGGGATCTGTAGCATTATGGTCAAAGACAAATATATTGAACCATACCATTACAGATCTGCAGCTAATGTAGTACTTAATGTTGTTTTTGTACATTTGACTAATTGTCTGTAATCATTACAGGAGTTAGAGGAATTCTGGGCCTATCAAGAACTGCTGGGAACCTTTGTCAAGCGCCTGGCTTATTGTGTGTCTGCAGAACTCCTACCGCTCATGGAAATACCAGGTGTCAAACTGGTACATCATTTTGTACAGTAAAACTCGTTTCCTATAGATGTCTAGTTTTTAATTTTGTCTATTATGATGTAGACAATGTTTACAAAAAGTGTCATAATACAGATAAAGAAATCTGGAAGAAAAAAATGCCAATTAAATAGTTGCTTAATCTATTTGAACGTTTTGGATTTGAAGCATTCCAAAATGAGATATTCTTTACAAATTGTTTTTGACATTGTACAGGGTCGAGCTAAGCAGTTATACAATGCAGGATTTCAGTCTGTTGGGTTCGTGGCAGCCGCTGATCCCGAAATCCTTGTTAAATCCATACAGCAGATCCCTCATAAAGTGGCCAAACAGATCGTTGCTTCCGCAAAAGTGAGATTTCTTGCGTGCCTTAATTTTATGACTTTTAGATTTTGATACAGCTCTCCTGTCCTTTTAATTTATAAATATTTAATCTGTACAGATAAGTTTTTGTCTTAAAAAGAAATTGAGTGATACAGAGAAATATTATTTATTAATTTGTTAACACCTTTTATGTCTCATAATACACTTCTTAGCCTTCCTTTACTCAAGGTATTATAAAGATATTATGCACATTCTTTGGTTGATAGAAATTTAATTATGATTACGCTTGTGTTAAAGGAATGATTAAACAACCCAGATTTATTAATAGATTTTGCTGAATGAGAAAGCAGAGGCCTTACTACAGGAAGTAGAGGAACTGGTGACGGTTCCGGTCGACCGATCAACCGTACATAGTTCACAGGGTCAAACCTCTCCCTGGGATGATATGGACTTGTTTTCTAGTCTTGATACACAGTCTTCTACCTCATGATAAAAATTGACACCCTTTTTAGCTCGAAGACAAAAAGTGCATTTAGATAAAGGGAAAAAAACCTCAAGAACCCTCCTAATGATTTACATGTAAATTCCTGCAGTCCTTTGGGTTTAAGTTTAAGTTAGTTGAATGTGACGTCATGGTTAAAAAGACTGTAGTGCATAGGATGTTCAAATGTTCATTAAACTTCTGAACATATCTATATATATATATATATATTGTTTTTTTTTTTTGAAAGATAATAATTAACTTGTACATAATAGAACTTTTATGTATAGCACACAAAGTGAATGTGCAATATCTCCCAAATAAAGAGGGATGTTTATAGAAATATAACTATCTGAATGGTATTGAAACTGCTTCCAGATGTGTGATATTTGGGCTTAAATTCTTGTCTTAAGTCTGTGCCACACAGCTTTCAAGAATTTAACTTGTCTGTATCATACCATGCTTACATGATGGTTGTTAATATGAGTACAGTTTCTGTGATATAAGCACATGCATGTACCATTAGTAATGAACACGTTTATGTCATGATTCTAGTTGACTGGTCTCAGTTAACTAATTATTGACAATGGTGTTAAAGTATTTTTAGAAATTTATTGTTCTATTGTTCTAATGCATGTATTTAATGAAGCCTCATATTTAAATATTTATATGCCACTGTGACATGTACATAGAAGAAACTAGGTAACATTGAGATGGTGGCCATTTCAAAGGGCCCCGCATTCAACAATGAACATGAAAATGTAAGGTCATTTAAAAGGGATTATTTTGAAGAGGAACATTTGTGTAATACAGTAAAAGTGATTTAGTACGACTTCATGGATACTGCAAATTTACTAATATTTATCGAAGTTATCTTGTATCCCGAGTTATATAAATTTACTTGAATTAAAAGGCAAAAAATTATGCACCGAACAAAGATTTTAAACAGAAAGGGTAATTCTGTCCATGACCTAGAAACTTTGACCAAGGTCACTGCACATCCATTGACCAGTGGATCTCTATGAGTGAAGTGATAGCCAGATTGGGCCAATGAGAGAGAAGATATACTCCGAACTAGGATTTTTCATATAATTCTGCAATGACCTTGACCTTTGACCTAGAAATCTTGTTCATGCACACCGGTTACCCAAATGCACTCTGAGGGTGAATTATGAGCCAGATTGACCTAGGAGAGAGAAGATATGCTCCGGACAAGGATTTTTCATATAATTCATCTATGACCTTGACCTTTAACCTAGAAACCTGGTTCAAGGTCACTGCACACCTGTTACCCTAAGGCACTCTGTGGGTGAAGTATGGGCAAGATTGGGCCAAGGAGAGAGAAGATATGCTTTGGACAAGGATTTTTCATATAATTCAGCTAACCCTAACCCTAATCTAACCCTAACCTGACCGTGACCTTTGACCTAGAAACCAGGTTCAAGGTCACCGCACACCGGTTACCCAAAGGCACTCTGTGGGTGAAGTATGAGCCAGATTGGGCCAAGGAGAGAGAAGATATGCTCCGGACAAGGATTTTTCATATAATTCAGCTATGACCTTGACCTTTGACCTAGAAACCTGGTTCAAGGTCACTGCACACCGGTTACCCAAATGCACTCTGTGGGTGAAGTATGAGCCAGATTAGGCCAAGGAGAGAGAAGATATGCTCCGGACAAGGATTTTTCATATAATTCAGCTATGACCTTGACCTTTGACCTAGAAACCTGGTTCAAGGTCACTGCACACCGGTTACCCAAAGGCACTCTGTGGGTGAAGTATGAGCCAGATTGGGCAAAGGAGAGAGAAGATATGCCCCAGACAAGAGATCTCGGACGGACGGACGGACGGACAGACTGATCACTATAGGGCGCCCGCCAAGCGGGGCCCTAATAAGAAAACCCTGGTGATTTTACAGATCCCAGATATTTCAACTTATGTTATACGATATAACATAACTTGGGGCAGTTTAGGCTTTATAAACCGCGAAGCGGTTTATTAAAAATCGTAAACTGCCCCAAGTTTTGTTATATCGTATAACATAAGTTGAAATTAGCTTCATTCCTTATAATTTAATTTCAATATAGACAAGAAGACAATTTTCCCTCCAGAATAAGGCTTCAAATTTAGCATTATTTTAAAAGTTACGTCAAGGGTATATTTGCGAGGGCCACCGAGGAGGCATTACCTCCACAGTTATTGTTATTATGTTATTGAATAAAACATTTAAAAAAAAAAAAAAAAACTTCACTATCCTGTCTGTACCGAATCACGATCCCGATCGTTTCCCTTAAGGATGCAAAAGCTACTTGAAAATGGCTTAGGTACGCATTTCCATTGCTCTAACTGGAAAATTTCGATGTAAAGGTAATGGAGAGTTGCTGATGCGAATTTCACTACTTTACTCCTCAACAGGGTCTTACGTATCACAGTCCTTGTACCGGAAGTCCAAGGATGGCTACACTGCTTTAAGTTAGAGAAAATTCGACCTAATCATCTGAAAAACTGTTATTTAGAAATGCCAAAGAATAATGCCTTCGCTAAGATCTCGATATTAATGAACCTATTGGTTCGTAGAAATTAAGCTGCAACTGTTGTTTACAGCAGTCTTGCACGTTTTACTTGAACGCCAGGGAGGGGGTGTTTTAACAGCCATATTTTACCTAGCAAAGTAAACAGATAAACATTTAACATTTTTATCAAATTTCTAATGTTTTGAAAAGTGAGTTTATCCTAACTTTATTTGCTTTTGAAAATCATCAGTTAAAAAAATATAAAATTTGTAGATTACTGCTTGTTGCGTTTCTTTTGCGTGTCAGTATATATTCATATTTTTAATCTTTCTTATTTTCTTTAAGACTTTAACGCTCCTGTAAATGCCTGTATATACAAATAATAGCGTTCCTTAATGATCCAATCCAGAGAAGATGCGAACTGTGATCGTAGCTTAAGCTGTATGGATATTCTACTCCTTGCTTTTCTGTCAGTAGCACTGTCAGGAACTGACCATCCTTGTCAATCATCTGTACTGTCTTTGTGTTTATGTCACACACAATGATATTTAACAGTTCATCTGTACAAATTCCACGTGGTTCAAAACTTGATTCTGGTTTATTCCCTTTATAGGAGAAGCGATGTGTGCCTTTACAGTCTGTTACCACTACAACACCTGATCCAAAGTAGCCAATACTGGAGTCCGAAACAATCACATCTCCATTTTGGTTTTCTGTGATATATTTAGGATTAATATATTGTCCCTGACAAGGGTTATGTTGGAGTTCTTGCCCTGTACTTTTGTATCGGCCCACCATGGCTGTATATTTATCCTTTCTCTTCATCCCAATAAGAAAATCTCCATTTAAGCGAGAGCAGTAGAGACAGTATGGTTTCCAAGGTTCTGCTATTCTTATCGCTGTAAACTTTGTTTCATTGTTTGATGAGAGTTTCTTAATATTATAATCCCTATCTATGTATACAAGATTGCCTTCTCTAGTCACTGTGTGTACACCATCGTTATTACATTTATCTCTAAGAAAAATTAAATTGTCACCCACGGTACCTGTTAAGTTTAAATGATTCCAACTGCTGACCCAAGCAACGTCTGCTGTCATACATGAGATATGACGACTAACATTACTTAGAATCCCTGAAGGCTTCACTATGAAAGATTTCTGTAACACTGGTGGAGACATCACTTTAAATATCTGTTCATTTCTTACTTGTCTTTTTCCAGGCTCTATGATAGAAATTCCCCCAAGAAACTTGAAAACATTATCTTTATTGATTTCCTTGCTCGGAGAGTGAATTTGAATTATTGCTGTACTAGAGGTGCCATCTCTTTTGTAAAAGCTGTATTTCTTGGAAAATAAAAGAAACTGCATCGCTCTGTTTGCTAAATGTTCAGATATGTAGACACGTTTTTGTATAGATCCGATTTGTCTCCTTTGTTGTTTCTGTTTAGAGTTGAAGTAACATTTTATTTGCACCCTTGTGTGCTCTAAGACATCTCCCAATGTCACATGTATGAGATCCTTAAGCCTTTTTGCTTTAAGAATCATATTTCTCTGGAGTTTAAAGATTTCATTTTGACAGGATTTGAAATCAGAATAAATACCTGACTTGATACGATGATTCTGAAGTATAATCTCACTTTTAACCTGAAAAATTCTTTTTTGATGTTGTTTCTGCTGATTTTTATACAACAATGTAATATCCTGTCTATTGTGTCCTGTGTGCTCTACACAGTTTGAACAAATAGGAAGCTTACATATCAGGCACCACATTTCACAGACCATGCTTGGGTGTCTCTCACAAGTCTCCAGTAATATAATGTCTCCATACTTTAAGCGATCAATCACTACATCGTGGTGTTTTGTATCAAAGTCTATCACATGTTCCTCCTTACATGGTACACACAGATCTTGTTTACATGTCCTGCAGTAGTATTCTGAATCGCTCTTACACTGAGAACACTTTGGTGGTTTTAACTGTGTAAGGGATACCTTATTCATTATGCTATGGTAAAATTAATTACAATGGTTTAGGTTCTTCCAGTTGTTTAAATGTTTTCTTCATTGGTATTTCATCTTGTAGAGCAACCTGACTAGTTATGGTACGAAGAACTTCCAATGCGCTTGCGTGACCTGGAATTCTGGGAGTGGTTCTGCAGTAAATCACTCCTTCTAATTTTATTTTAGTAAAATCAATATAGAATATAAACCAACAAATACCTCTTTAACACCAAGGCAATCTGTTAATTTAACTCAAAAAGGAATTTCCCGATGCTTATTTTTGTTTAGAAGGTTTCAAATAGTTTACTGGTTCGCAGTAATTAAACTGGTTCGCACCTGATCATGTGTTCTACGCAGCAAAGCATACAGTTGCTATACTGTTGGATGAATTTAGTGTTTGTCGCTTCAATTGAAGCTCTTTTATAAAATATATTGAAGGTATTTTACTTATGTATTTAAATCTACAGTACAAACATTGGTTTATTACAAATTTTTAGCTTTTCAGTTTTTACTGCTTTTACTTTCGTTTTCACTACAAATCATTTCGATCCCGATGCTAAATAGCGGACAGACTTGTTAAGTCATACAAAAGATACTTCGGAAAGTAAACACAACTGGCTAAGCTTGCTCGTTTGTTGCCCCCCGCTGAAATTAGAGAAGATCAATTTCAGTCTGTCTTTCCGTTCATCTATAATAGTTCTGTCTGTCTGTAACACTAGTCTTTCACTTTCCCGCAATATTGCGTGGGCTTTGGGCTTTTGCAGTGAAATTGTACACAACTGTTAACACCTTATATGCCTTTGGAAGACCCTCTTGATTTTGAGGTCAAAGGTCAAGGTATTAAATTCAGAAATTCTGTCTGTTTAAACACTTGTTTTCGCGCAATATCTCTATAAGCCATTGAGCTTTTGCAATGAAATTTTATACCAAAACTCCCTATGGCCATATACATGATATATATGGCGTAAGGAATACCCCTGTGTATTTTGAGGTTCAAACGTCAATGTCATAAATTCATACTTCTGTGTGACTCTGTGTAAAACTTTCATTTCCAGTCAATAGCTCAAGAAGGTTTTGAGTTTTTGCAATTAAATGTCATAAACCATAACTCCCTATGGCCATGCCATGGACCCCCCCCCCCCCCAATCTGCGCATGCTTTTTTATCCGTAAATTGCCTTGTTTTTCATAAACTACGACCTGATGATCTAGGTTGATCTAGGCAATCATATTTATGAATTAATAGGTTTATTATATTAAAAGAGGTATGATAAATGAATTTATAGCCAAGAGTGATTCAACCGGCGGCATGATCAACTCTAACAAGGATGATAGTGAAGCTTATTGGGCTCCGTTTTGTTAAAATGTCCATATATCCCCCTCCCCCTAAAATCTGATAGATCTGATAATGAGGTTATAGGTTTATATAACCTCTTTGAACTATGTTATATAGATTGGAACTTCAATGTTTATACATACTTTCCGTTCTTTTGATTTTGAAATAAAAAATGCAAGAATCTGCATGCAAAAATGCTTCTGTTCCTATGCAGAAAAAATATTAAGACAATGTTTCAATTTAAGTGCCCAACTATGCTACTAAAAAAAAAATGATTTTTTTTTAAAAATTTAGAAAGGACAAGATGGGGTAACAGCCTCATCTGGCCCCTAATTTGATATAAAAATCAGAACACTGGTAAAAATGAGATAGTTTGCAGTTAAGAAGTTAAAATAATGCTTACTTTAAGACAAGCACTAATTTTGATTCAAAGTCTACACGTAGGCCACTAGAGGGCGCAGAAATAGGACATTTTCCCGAATTTCCTTAATTTTGGTGGAATTTCATCATATTTGGGATGCATTTCTCTTCGGAAAACATAGAGCACACGCTTGCCTATCTGAGATTTTTACACATATACTGTATCTGATATCAGTGTATAAAATACATAAATTTGGTAGATAGGCAAGCGTGTGCTTTATGTTTTCCGAAAAAAAAAATGTGCTGTAAAATTAGTGAAAATTTGCATAAAAATGAGAAATTTCAAAAATTGACCTATTTCCTGACCTCACTGTGACCCTGGTATATCCTAAATCTTAAAACCAACACTCATTTTGTGGCAGGGGTGAAAACAGGTTTTCGTGGATAAATTGTTGGATCACTCTGAAAGACACCCCAAATCGGGGGCCAAATACTGTTCTTACCCTATCTTGTCCTTTCTTTTGTATATTGTTTAATGGACGTTGAAATTGAATACTGTTCGTTATTTCCATATCCTTCTTGGAGGCATTTTTCAGTTCTCTATGACTCTTTAAAATATTATCACCGAGAAGAAAATCCACTGGCTGACTCTCTAAGCTTTTTTCAAAAGCTAAACTTGTATGCATTAAGGACAGTCCTTGTACCGGAAGTCCAAGGATGGCTACACTGCTTCAAGTTAGAGAAAATTCGACCTAATATCATCTGAAAAACTTTTATTTAGATATGCCTAAGAATAATGCCTTCGCTAAGATCTCGATATTAATGAACCTATTGTTTCGTAGAAATTAAGCTGCAACTGTTGTTTACAGCAGTCTTGCACGTTTTACTTGAACGCCAGGGAGGGGGTGTTTTAACAGCCATATTTTACCTAGCAAAGTAAACAGATAAACATTTAACATTTTTATCAAATTTCTAATGTTTTGAAAAGTGAGTTTATCCTAACTTTATTTGCTTTTGAAAATCATCAGTTAAAAAAATATAAAATTTGTAGACTACTGCTTGTTGCGTTTCTTTTGCGTGTCAGTATATATTCATATTTTTAATCTTTCTTATTTTCTTTAAGACTTTAACGCTCCTGTAAATGCCTGTATATACAAATAATAGCGTTCCTTAATGATCCAATCCAGAGAAGATGCGAACTGTGATCGTAGCTTAAGCTGTATGGATATCGCACCCATTGTTTTTCTGTCAGTAGCACGTACTGTCAGGAATTGTCCATCCTTGTCAATCATCTGTACTGTCTTTGTATTTATGTCACACACAATGATATTTAACAGTTCATCTGTACAAATTCCACGTGGTTCAAAACCTGATTTTGGTTTATTCCCTTTATAGGAGAAGCGATGTGTGCCTTTACAGTCTGTTACCACTACAACACCTGAACCAGAGTAGCCATCACTGGAGTCCGAAACAATCACATCTCCATTTTGGTTTTCTGTGATATATTTAGGATTAATATATTGTCCCTGACTAGGGTTATGTTGGAGTTCTTGTCCTGTACTTTTGTATCGGCCAACCATGGCTGTATATTTATCCTTTCTCTTCATCCCAATGAGAAAATCTCCATTTAAGCGAGAGCAGTAGAGACAGTATGGTTTCCAAGGTTCTGCTATTCTTATCGCTGTAAACTTTGTTTCATTGTTTGATGAGAGTTTCCTAATATTATAATCCCTATCTATGTATACAAGATTGCCTTCTCTAGTCACTGTGTGTACACCATCGTTATTACATTTATCTCTAAGAAAAATTAAATTGTCACCCACGGTACCTGTTAAGTTTAAATGATTCCAACTGCTGACCCAAGCAACGTCTGCTGTCATACATGAGATATGACGACTAACATTACTTAGAATCCCTGAAGGCTTCACTATGAAAGATTTCTGTAACACTGGTGGAAACATCACTTTAAATATCTGTTCATTTCTTACTTGTCTTTTTCCAGGCTCTATGATAGAAATTCCCCCAAGAAACTTGAAAACATTATCTTTACTGATTCCTTTGCTCAGAGAGAGAACTTGAATTATTGCTGTACTAGAGGTGCCATCTCTTTTGTAAAAGCTGTATTTCTTGGAAAATAAAAGAAACTGCATCGCTCTGTTTGCTAACTGTTCAGATATGTAGACACGTTTTTGTATAGATCCGATTTGTCTCCTTTGTTGTTTCTGTTTAGAGTTTAAGTAACATTTTATTTGCACCCTTGTGTGCTCTAAGACATCTCCCAATGTCACATGTATGAGATCCTTAAGCCTTTTTGCTTTAAGAATCATATTTCTCTGGAGTTTAAAGATTTCATTTTGATAGGATTTGAAATCAGAATTAATGCCTGACTTGATACGATGATTCTGAAGTATTATCTCACTTTTAACCTGAAAAATTCTTTTTTGATGTTGTTTCTGCTGATTTTTATACAACAATATAATATTCTGTCCATTGTGTCCTGTGTGCTCTACACAGTTTGAACAAATAGGAAGCTTACATATCAGGGACCACATTTCACTGATACTGTTTGGGTGTCTCTCACAAGTCTGTAGTAAGATAATGTCTCCATACTTTAAGCGATCAATCACTACATCGTGGTGTTTTGTATCAAAGTCTATCACATGTTCCTCCTTACATGGTACACACAGATCTTGTTTACATGTCCTGCAGTAGTATTCTGAATCGCTCTTACACTGAGAACACTTTAGTGGTTTTAATTGTGTAAGGGATACATTATTCATTATGCTTTGGTAAAATTAATTACAATGGTTTAAGCTTCTTCCAGTTGTTAAAATATTCTTCATTGGTATTTCATCTTGTAGAGCAACCTACATATAAACAATGGACCATGAATCATTCAAATCATATGTCCAAAAAAATTTAAGTTCGGAAAAGTCTTTGTCACAAGATTTTCAAACTTTTCAAAGTGATAAATTAGCACTCGCTTATCAATCAGTTAAAATCAGAGGACTTGTTTCTTTGTTATTAAATGTAGTAGGCCTGTGAAACTTGGAATGGTTATTATATACTGCGACTACACATATTCAAATTTTCCGTCATTTTTAGGGTACTTGTCATGAAGAGAATATTATGAAAAATCGCCAAAAAATCTACCATTTAATCAAACATCGTCTTTTCTTTATTAATAGCCATTCTCTGTAACCACTTAAACTTCGTTGCCACGCATGGTCACCGATTTTGATGAAACTTCACCCATGCTTAGTACTTGACACCAGAAACAAATATTAAACAAAATTTCGTTGCTAT